TCAGCCTGCTTCCTAAGCTTGTTTAATAATTTCCCATTAAAAAATGTTCAAATAATGTTTCCCTCATGTTATTGAGAATTTACTGTAGGGTAAAAACTGCAGCTGTGTATGAATGTGGACCGAACAGGTGCCCACTATTGGAAAATTATTTCATAAGATATATATATATATATATATATATATATATATATATATAGATAGATAGATAGATAGATAGATAGATAGATATAGATATATATAGGGGAAAAAAGAACTATGAACTAGTTTGTTTTTGGAACAGTGAACTTAGTTTAAAAGAATTTAAATTATGAACTAAGAAACAAACTAGTTTGTTTTAAAATGTATGAACTGAACTTTGAACTAGTTCGTTTTTTAAATGAACTTTCCCAACAATGGCTACAAGACCAGTTTTTTTTCTGCGCTTGCTGTATCACTGATAAACTCCAAAATCAGATGTGAGACCATCTGTCTGACAGCTGAATGTTGGCTGAATTTGGGTCATGAACCAGGACATAAATTTGAAGTGCAGCTGAAAATACCAAACAAGAATAGTTGAAAATGAAAGAATTAGGGTCATGCAGTGGTTTAACCCAAGCTCTTACTGAGCTGTTTCATCAGCACTTGAAGATAGCTGTGCATTAAGGAACACAAGCATGCATGCATTTTAATGCTGCTGCTGTAATGGCATTTTAGCATCGACTCTGTAAGGATTGACTCCCTCAGTGGTAGTCTGGGAAAATGCAGTACTATCAAATGTAAAAATTAATAAACTGACTTTCATAAAGGATCTAGCTGTTTACGAATCTCCACTGTTTGTCTAAAAGTCTAATAAAATATATTGTGTTTTGTCTGGGGATGCATAAAAAATGATCTGGTTTCCAGAATTGTCCAGTAGCATGATTAGCTTAATCTGTGATCGACCAGTCAAGAACCAAAAAAGTTATTTATTTTCATTAATAAAACGATTTCTGTTAATTACAGATGTTTGACATGAATCAGAATTGGCTAGAATTTGTACTGGTGGGTTAAATGTCTACAAGTTTTTGAGATTTGGCCTTTAAATCAAGAATTGGTACATTTCTAGGGCTGGGGACTGAAATTCAGTACCAATGAAAAACATTCAGTAGGTACTAGTACCAAAAACACTGAAGGTTTGCTGTGTTTTTTCTCGGTTTAATAAACAGAAAAAAGCATTGTTCAGGTAATGATACCAAAAAACCTGGTATTTTTAAAAGTACTGGTATAACAAAAATGTCTAAAAGCTGTTTTTATTTTTGTAGACGTGTTCTTTTCCACTATCTCTTTGTCAAAGACCCGAGTCCCCCAAACATTTTCAAAGCTTAAACTAAACAGGAAAAATATGACCAGGTCAATACATTTCAAAAATATGTAGAAATGTTTGAAAAAACATAATCATTAATAACTTACACTATTTTCACCCACATAATCTTATAATGTTAATATTATTAACTTTCATTGAAGTATAATCCTTCTTACCTCCATATTAAGTTTAAAATACATCTTGGTGTTGAATTTAAAAGGCTGAATGTTTAACACAGAATCAAGCTCAGATGGCAAAAAATAGAATAAAAACATTAGTCGGTGGCATGAGCAGGTGAAGGGTTTTTGTGACGCATTTTTTAATGACGTTGATACAAAAGCTGGATCATAAAAAACATACACTGCTGTAGACTTAATGAGGGCAAACTGTTAAATAAACATCAGATCTGACTGCAGTTGGTTGTCTGATTATAAAATAATCAATAAGGCAATTAAAATCAAGATGTTTGACTGACATACTAGTGAGTTCATGATCCGTAAAGATAATCAAATTTAAAAGAAGCACTGCTGAGAAAAATGACTCTTGCTTTAATCTGAATACACATATAGTCTCTGCGTGTGAGCACCTGAGGTCCACACACTCTAGTTCATCTGAGATGCAGGGCAGGAATGTTGTGACCTTGGCAGACTTCGCTGCAATTACACACACACACACACTCACACATACACACACACTTATGCACACGACATTTAGATGCACAAACATGCCTGCAGCTGACAAAACTATGCACTCTGCCTCTCCATCTTTCCCTCTCAAACACTCTTTGGAACACACAGACAAACACAATTGCCCACCCTCGTCTGTTTGAATTTGGACTAATCAGCAGGTGAATTGTCTGTGGAGGCTGAGCCATTTGCAGTGACCTTGTCTAACTGGTTAGCAGTGACGGTCACACACTCAGGCACTCCTGTATGAATAAATAGACTGTGCTGTCACATTTTTTAAAACAAATAGACAGAAAAAAATAGCCTCACTGTAGAAGAAGATGAAGAAAATATCATTTCTATAGCACCTCTCAAGATAAAAATAACGAGGCGCTGTACACTGCAAGTTTCCTGCATTCTAAATTGTCAAACGGATGTTGGAAGCCACTTCCTGCATGCATTTGCACGTTAATGACTAATACCCAATTTTCTAACGACTACTTTAACGTTGCGTCTAAGCTACTGGAGTCCATCTGTTTTTGTGACAACTGTTGATACAGACATGTTTGCCAATTAATGCAATAATTAGCTGTGCTAATGAACTAATTTGCATCTCTAGAAGTGTTAGACATTTTGGTAACAGCAAAACAACAAGCAGCTCATGAGTGAAGTGAAACCATGGATGTTGGCCTGGCATCAAGCTCTCATTATGCTGTTAAGGGAAGGATCAGATTGAAAAGCTGACTGGTTTTCTCTGTATAATTTAGCTCTGCCTCCTACGTAGATATTGCTATACATTAATATTAAAACAGTGTTTGCTTTAATTTCCATACCAAGGTTCCATACTCATCAGCATGCATTATTCTTTGTTTTCAAAATTTTAACAAAAACTGTTGCAAATCCTTCATTACTTAATTAAAATAATCCTTGTTATTAAGTCTGAAATAAAAAGTGGTGTTCAATGGGCATCCTTCAAAGAATGCTAGGCCGTGAATTAAATGTGAGATTCACAGTATTGTTGAGCAACTTGATAACAATAAAGACACCGGTAAATCCTCCACCAGAGGGCAGCAGATATGTATAGAGCTAAATATGGTAGGTTTTAGATGAAAGTACTATTCCTGATCCGCCATCTGGATGCTTTATGGCCAGAAGTGGTTTGATATGAATTTGCATTAATAGAGACTTTAGCTGATCATGCAGAAAATTGGCCATAAACATCTTTGCCGGAAGATGCATTTAGATTTTTTTTGTTTAACTTTGTATTTGTAGCTTGGTCGAGTGACGTATAAACGGCCCGTATTAAACACGGTTAAAGTGTTAAAAGGAAGGCTCCTCTTTGATTCCCTGTTGTGCCCACCATTGTGGTAGCCTATTTTATTTAAGCAAAATGGGTATTTTTTTCTGAACAAAGGCTATTGTGTCTCTTTGTTTTATGAGTTTGAGTAGGAAATGGAATGAACCGCTGCCACGTTTGGACGCACTCTGAGGAGGCAGCAATTGCTTGCTGCCAGAGGTCGCATGATCCGTTTATCCACTTTCATTTTTAAATTAATAAATAACCATTTAATACAGTTAAATTTCCATTCATTTTATATTTAGTCCAAACAAGCTAACAGAGTGCCCTAGTAACATAAACAATGTAATTAAACAATTTCACTTGAATTAGGAACATTTCACCTGCTGCGGCCTGAACGCACATTCCTTCTGCTCCTCGTAAACCTGGGCTGGTCACCCGCAGCCTGTGCATAATCAAATGTCTCTAGGGAGCTTGCTGCAGAGGTTATGAGGTTCTGGATTTTTGTCCAGATAGATTTGTGGATGTTTAAATGTCCTAGATGAGTCTGTGCTTCGCTGACACACTTGAAACAGGAGCTGAATCACCAGGGGCGCCTCCAGAAAATGTTGATGGGGTGGCCAGACTGGGCTAAAGAAATTTTTGTGGTGGCACACCAAATTGGTCCTTGTGGTAATTCTGGGAGAGTTTAGCCTGTGGCAATGTACTGCATTGCCCCTTTGTTTGTTTTTACTAAATTAACAGTACTTATCCAAAACATGAACTTAAATTTTACAAACACGAACATTTCAGAAAAAAAAATTCTGTCATTTAAGAAGTTATTTCAAATTTTATTTTAAAATGTGTTTTTTTTTGTTTATTTCACCTGTTGCTGTGTTCACAAAAAACTATGGAGATCGAAACTTTTTTAAATGGCGAGCAGCAGAAACATGTATTTTTTTCTTAATTCTGATTATCTTTACTCATTAATTGTATTATTTTTGTTTTGTTTTACAATTATGTCAGGAATAAATAAGATCAATTTATAGTTTGAGTGAACATTAATATGATTGATTAAAACTGGCTTTTGCTGGAGGGGGGCAGAAATTTTCTAGGGCTGCCCCCCCCAGCCACCCCTTGGGGGCGCCATTGTAAATAACGATCGCTACTCAAGACAAAGTTTTAAAATCAGGAAACTTTTCTCCTAAAGATTTAACTACAAGTCTTCCAGACACTCAAAGATGGAAGGTTTTCCACTTTCCACTCAACACCGCGCTGTTGTGCACAATGTCGAGTGTGTCACAGACGCTCTCCGAGCTCCTCAGCGAGCCGCTTGTGCCACTGTGGCGGAGAAGGTGAGAAAATGCTCTTATGCGCTGATGGAGATAATTTCTTGCTTGTTATCTCTAAGATGTTCTCTGTACGTAACATGTAAAATATTTGTCAGTAACAAGCTCACTTATGGGCAAACAAATACTTAAATAAACAAATCCGTAAAAACACAACTGTAACGGCTCAGCCCAATCGCCGATGGTCGATCCATTTGTCCCATCGCCCAACCCTACTACCCTGTTTTTTTCTTTACATCATCAAAAACTCGAACAATAAACAAAAAATGTTACTTTGGCGTAATTCCTGTAAGATTACATCTAAAAGTTTACTACATAATAATGATTACTTCCTCTCTTCTACAACAGTTTTTTGTATTTACACATTTCAATTGTTTTTGCTTTCCCAGAGTGAGGACATTCCCAAAAGATTCAGCCTTACTGGGCAGAGAAACGGTTCGAGCCCTCATGTACTACGCCCTGAAGGTCTGGAGCGACATTGCTCCTCTGAACTTCCACGAGGTTGCCGGCAGCGACGCAGACATTCAGATCGACTTCACCAAAGCTGACCACAACGATGGATACCCCTTTGATGGGCCGGGCGGCACAGTGGCACACGCGTTCTTCCCTGGTGAGAGGTTCACAGCCGGAGACACTCACTTTGATGATGACGAGGCCTGGACCTTCAGATCACCAGGTGAGAAGCACAGTCTTTAACCATCAACATTATTGCTGTTGTGCTTGAATGTATGACACTTTTAATGTTAGTGTTTTTATTCTTTATTATAGTGAATAAAGCCACGCTGATTATTATCACAAGCTTATTAAGAAGAGATAATGCAGCTTTTATTCAGCTGCTAAACTCAAACATCCACCCTCATATTTGCCCACTGATTAAAGTTGCTTTTAACAAAAAGGAAAATTAATTGAATTTCAGCCTTTATTGATTCATATTTATCAATCCACAGACTTTTACTTACAACTGGATCTTTTAATATTTGAAGATGGGGATGAAGGAGCCTCGTGTTTTGACTGAGAAAAGTGATTTACCAGACTGTAAAATATTTCATTGGATTATCTTGAGAAGTAAAAGTAATCTAGCTGAAGTGGAAGCAGCCACATGAACTGTGACCAGCTGTGCCAACAATTATCAACAAAGAGTGGTTTGGGTATGAAACCACTATAGAGGCTGATTGTAAATACTGTTTCATGCTGAGTTCAAGAGCTGCAAAGTCAAAACAGTTATTCATTCAAGTTTTCTCAGAGCAGGTCCAGAGTCAAAGCTAATTATTCGTAACATTAGATTTAGTCATTCTAGGATAACAGTTAAAAGTTGTTCTGTTTAAAGAAATCTAAAGGAACAAGCAGATTAGAACAAATTGGGAAGTCAAGGTCAGGTCCAGGTAACTATTAATACCCACAGGTAAATTTGATTTGACATGTGACACGAGAATTAGCTCCCAGGTTACACACACACCCTACGGAGGAAACTCATTTCGGCCGCTTGTATCCGCGATCTCGTTCTTTCGGTCATTACCCAAAGCTCATGACCATAGGTGAGGATTGGGACGTAGATCGACCGGTAAATCGAGAGCCTGGCTTTCTGGCTCAGCTCCCTCTTCCCCACGACAGATCGGCTCAGCGTCCGCATCACTGCAGACGCCGAACCAATCCGCCTGTCGATCTCCCGATCCCTCCTACCCTCACTCGTGAACAAGACCCCGAGATACTTAAACTCCTCCACTTGAGGTAGGACCTCTCCCCCGACCCGGAGGTGGCAAGCCACCCTTTTCCGGTCGAGAACCATGGTCTCAGATTTGGAGGTGCTGATCCTCATCCCAGCCGCTTCACATTCGGCCGCGAACCTACCCAGCAAGAGCTGAAGGTCAGAGCTGGATGAAGCTAGGAGGACCACATCATCCGCAAAAAGCAGAGACGAGATTCTCCTGCCACCAAACTCGACACACTCCACACCACGGCTGCGTCTAGAAATTCTGTCCATAAAAGTGATGAACAGAACCGGTGACAAAGGGCAGCCCTGGCGGAGTCCAACCCTCACTGGGAACAGGTCCGACTTACTACCGGCTATGCAGACCAAACTCACGCTCCTCTGGTAAAGGGACTGAATGGCCCTTAACAGAAAGCCACCCACCCCATACTCCTGGAGCGTCCCCCACAGGGTGCCCCTGGGGACACGGTCATAAGCCTTCTCCAAATCCACAAAGCACATGTGGATTGGTTGGGCAAACTCCCATGCCCCCTCCATCACCCTTGCAAGGGTATAGAGCTGGTCCACAGTTCCACGGCCAGGACGAAAACCACATTGCTCCTCCTCTATCTGAGATTCAACTATCGATCGGACCCTCCTCTCCAGTACCTTGGCGTAGACCTTTCCAGGGAGGCTGAGGAGTGTGATCCCCCTATAGTTGGAACACACCCTCAGGTCACCCTTCTTAAAGATGGGGACCACCACCCCGGTCTGCCACTCCCTAGGAACTGCCCCCGATGACCACGCAATGTTGTAGAGACGTGTCAACCATGACAGCCCTACAACATCCATAGCCTTGAGATACCCAGGACGAACCTCATCCGCCCCCGGGGCTCCGCCGCTGTGTAGTTGTTTGACTACCTCAGCAACTTCTGCCCCCGAGATCGGACAGTCCATCCCCAGGCCTCCCAGCTCTGGTTCCTCCTCGGAATGCGCATTGGTGGGATTGAGGAGCTCCTCAAAGTATTCCTTCCACCGTCCGACTATAGCCTCAGTTGACGTCAGCAGCTCCCCATCCCCACTGTAAACAGTGTGAGCGAGTTGCTGCCTTCCTCTCCTGAGGCGCCGGACAGTTTGCCAGAACCTCTTTGGAGCCGATCGATAGTCTTTCTCCATGGCCTCACCAAACTCCTCCCACGCCCGAGATTTTGCCTCGGCAACTGCCACTGCTGCACCCCGCTTGGCTATCCGGTACCTGTCTGCTGCCTCCGGAGACCCACAGACCAGCCACGCCCTGTAGGCCTCCTTCTTCAGCCTGACGGCTCCCCGAACCTCTGGTGTCCACCAGCGGGTACGGGGGTTGCCACCACGACTGGCACCGGCCACCTTACGACCACAGCTAGCAACAGCCGCCTCGACAATCGCAGAGTGGAACAAGGCCCACTCGGACTCAATGTCCCCCACTGCTCTCGGGACGTGGTCAAAGCTCTGCCGGAGGTGGGAGTTGAAGACCGTCTTGACAGGTTCTTCTGCCAGGCGTTCCCAGCAGACTCTCACTATGCGTTTGGGTCTGCCAGGTCTACGCGGCATGTTCCCTTGCCATCTGATCCAACTCACCACCAGGTGGTGATCAGTTGACAGCTCCGCCCCTCTCTTCACTCGGGTGTCCAAAACATACGGCCGCAGGTCAGATGATACGACTACAAAATCTATCATCGACCTGTGACCTAGGCTGCCCTGGTACCCAGTGTACCGGTGGGCATCCTTATGTTCGAACATGGTGTTCGTTATGGCCAAACTGCGGCTTGCACAGAAGTCCAATAACAAAACACCGCTCGAGTTCTGATCAGGTGGGCCGTTCCTCCCAATCACACCCCTCCAGGTCAAGCTGTCATTGCCCACGTGAGCATTGAAGTCCCCCAGCAGGACAATGGAGTCCCCTGATGGAGCACTATCTAGCACTCGTCCCAGGGACTCCAAAAAGGGTGGGTACTCTGAACTGATATTTGGCCCATAAGCACAAACAACAGTCAGGACCCGTTCCCCGACCCGAAGGCGCAAGGAAGCTACCCTCTTGTCCCCCGGGGTAAACCCCAACACACAGGCAGAGAGTCTCGGGGCTAACAAAAAGCCAACCCCAGCCCTCCGCCTCTCACCCGGAGCAACTCCAGCAAAGTAGAGTGTCCAACCCCTCTCCAGGTCTCGGGTTCCAGAGCCAATGCAATGTGTCGAGGTGAGTCCGACTATATCTAGCCGGTACCGCTCAACCTCTGCCACAAGCTCCGGCTCCTTCCCCGCCAGCGAGGTGACGTTCCATGTCCCAAAAACTAGTTTTCTTGTCCGGGGATTGGACCGCCAAGGCTCCCGCCTTGGTCTGCCACCCGATTCACATTGCACCGGACCCTTCATGTTCCTCCTGCAGGTGGTGGGTCCACAGTTGGACGAGCCCATGTATCCGGTTCGGGCTGGGCCCGGCCGGGCCCCATGGGCGAAAGCCCGGCCACCAGGCGCTCGCTCACGGGCCCCAACCCCAGGCCTGGCTCCAGGGTGGGACCCCGGTAACCCTCCGGGCCGGGTACTCCGACTCTTCGTTTTCACCGCCATGAAAGATCCTTCGAACCGTTCTTTGTCTCACCCTTCACCTAAGACCAATTTGTCATGGGAGACCCTACCAGGGGCACTAAGTGCCCCAGACAACATAGCTCCTAGGATCATTAGGGCACTCAAACTCCTCCACCACGATAAGGTGACGGTTCAAGGAGGTCAATAGTTGCTTTCGGTCAGCCTTAGAGATAGGGTGAGGAGCTCGGACATTCGGGAGGGACTCGGAGTAGAACCGCTGCTCCTCCGGATCGAAAGGAGCCAGTTGAGGTGGTTTGGGCATCTGGTCAGGATGCCTCCTGGACGCCTCCCCGGGGAGGTGTTTCGGGCATGTCCTGCCGGCAGAAGGCCCCCGGGTCGACCCAGGACACGTTGGAGAAGTTACATCTCCAATCTGGTCCGGGAACGCCTTGGGGTCCTGCCGGAGGAGCTGGTGGACAAGGCCGGGGAGAGGACGGCCTGGAGCTCCCTAGTTGGGATGCTGCCCCCGCGACCCGGACCCGGATAAGCGGAGGAAGACGACGACGACGACGTTACACACACAGTCACAAAACACACACACATCAATGAAAAATATAAACAATAAGTGAATAAAAATAAAATAGCAATGCCAGACTCAGTTCTTATTGAGTAACGTTACTGCCTCGGGAATAAAGCTTGTTTTGTACCTCTTGGTCCTGCACTTTGGCACAGTAAATCTCCGTCCAGATGGCAGGAGAGTAAACTGGCCATGAGTGGATGGCCCGTGTCCCTAACAATAGCTTTAGCAATCCTCTCTACCTGCCCACTGTACAGCTGTGCCACACTTTTCCCTGGTTTTCCAAGCAGATGACCCGACCACTTTAACATCCTGTTGGACAGGATTAAGGATGACACTGGGAAGAAAAAACAGAACAAGGACTAGGCTCAGAAGTAGTGACCTTCTACCTCTACCAGTTGGTGTCCTGGAGGACAGGAACATGGACACAGACAAACACAAAGAATGGGCCAGTCATCATTTCTATTGGAAGACAAGCTGAGAAAACAAAGTTAAAGCTGTTAGAATGAGTCTTTAAGCAAGCTAGGTTTTAAACGCAAACACTGGTATCTTAACCTAAGGCTTCTGCCAGGAACCCGCGTTGCCAGAGGAAACATGATAGCACTAAACACCAGTTGCCATTTTCTTGGTCCAAACGTCTTTTGTTGTCCACGACTTTAAACTAGCTTTTTCTTTTTAGGACTCTGGTTATTTGACTAAAGTTGAAGTGGTAGCAGCCGGCTGTGTCTCCTTCTCTGACATTAGTGAGCAGAGAACATCTCACACCAGTGGTGTTCTGTAGCTAAATACGCAAGTGCGAAATGAGCGAAGGACCCAGGGAAGTGGAGAAATGCAGCATTTTGGCGAGACC